GAAGCCAGCAAGAACGAGACGGGAGGCGGCGAAGGGGTGGAGGTCCTGGTCAACGAGCCCTACGAGCGCGATGGGGAGCGGGGCCAGTACACGCACAAGATCTACCACCTGCAGAGGTAGGGGAGGGGAGGGGAGGGTCGTTCCTCATGGCCTTGCCGTGGTAGGAGCCACCGCCTCCTGAGTGGGCATTCGTGGGAGGCCACTGGGTCTACAAGCCCACGGGCGTGTGGGGCATCTCCAGCCTGTCCTGCTAGCCCAGGCTGGGGGCAGGCAGGCTTCCAGGGAGAGCCGGCCCACTCACTCGCTCTGTGCAGGCAGGCCGCTTTTCCTGCCCCCCCCCTGACTCTGGTGCTGCTGCTGGTGCTGCATCCTCCTCCTGTGTTCTGGGCCAGGGGTGGGAGGGGGCCCTCGCCACACACCCACGTGGCCAGCTGCCAGGAGGGGGGTCAGCCTCTGAGGCAGGCACAGGCCTCCGTGGGGTGTGTGCGCGCGTGTGCGTGAGTGCTCATGCAGGTTGTGCCCCCCTGTGTGAGATGGTGCTGCCGCCGCATGCCCACCCTCTTCTTCTTCTGCCCTGCAGCAAAGTCCCCCCCTTCGTGAAAATGCTGGCCCCAGAGGGAGCCCTGAACATCCATGAGAAAGCGTGGAACGCCTACCCTTATTGCCAGGCCTCCGTGGGGTGTGTGCGCGCGTGTGCGTGAGTGCTCATGCAGGTTGTGCCCCCCTGTGTGAGATGGTGCTGCCGCCGCATGCCCACCCTCTTCTTCTTCTGCCCTGCAGCAAAGTCCCCCCCTTCGTGAAAATGCTGGCCCCAGAGGGAGCCCTGAACATCCATGAGAAAGCGTGGAACGCCTACCCTTATTGCCGGACGAGTGAGTATACGGGGGGGGGGGGGGGGANCAAATAGGTTTCATGGTCTTCTGTGGGTTTCTGCCTCCCTTTGGCTGTGCTGGTCATTAAGGGGCCTTCCCCTCGGCACTCAGCCCCACTCAATGCCCTGCAGCGTGCGTCACCCTCTCTTCCATGTGTTCGGCTCGTCTAGCGCCGAGGGGGTGGGAGGCAGGTTTCCTTTCCTGGCTGCCTCCCTGCTGCGAGTGTGGGATGTGTTCTCGGGAAGGCCCCAATTCTACTGCCCTACATCAGTCCCGATTGTATTCCTGCTTGGATGGGCCACCGGGTGTGCTTCCCTGTGGCGTCAGCCAGGGCGTCTTCGGGCTGCCCCCGTTCTGCTCGGTTCCAGCGGGCCCTGCATGCACTTGAGTCACCCCGTGTTGTAAAGGAACGAGGGAAACTACCAGCAGGGATGGCGTGGAGCTCCGGGTGGCGCTTCCCTAGGGCAGCGCTCTCTCTCGCTCGCTCGCTCGCTCGCTCCTGCTCCCTGCCGGGGGTCCAGGAGGACCCTCTGCTCTGGCAGCCCAGAAGCAGCAGCCAGCAGCCGGGTGCTGAAGAGTGTGGGCGTGTCCGTGCGTGCGTGCAGGGGGTGTGTGGGATGTGTGTGTCAGCTGTCCTGACAAGAAGCGCCGTCTGGGGCTCGGCTGCTCACTTTCACACTTGGCCAGAGGAGGGACCTTTGGGACCTGGGGCCACCCCCCCCGGGTTCAGTGTGGCTGGGCATGGAGCGGGCGAGGGCGAGGGCTCAGAGCGTCTCCTGCCCGCCACCCTCAGCCTCTGGCTGCCTCAGACCATCCCTGCCAAAGGGCCGTGTCATTTTGGGGGCTGGCTCGCCGCAGAGATTTTGCCCCCGCTCCCCAGCCACAGGCTTTAAGAGCTTGCCTGGGGTTTGAGCTTACCGCAAGGCAGTGGTGCCAAAACCAGTGGGGGGGGGCTCTTCTGGTTCTGCAGAAGCCCCCCTGGCACAAAACTGAAAGCCCAAAGGAGACGGACCCCCTGAGAGAGCTTTGTTCCTCCCTCGGGAGTGAGTCGGTTAGGGCTCGTATGGCTGACCTCTGGTTTCCCTTCCTTCTCCGAGGCGGGAGGCGGTTCCTCCAGGCAGCTCTTGAGCCCTGCGCCAGAGGAAACAGCCGGACAGTCTGGTGTTTCGGCTGAGACATTTGCAAGGGGAAGCGAGCCGTCCTCTGTGCAGAACAGCCTTGGTGCAATGGCTCCCTTCTGGAGGGCGATGGCCGCCCCTCGCGGGCCACCCTACCTGAGCAGCATCCCTTGGAAGCACTGTCTTCCATCCTGCTCTTTTCCGCTCCGGGTTTTTAGAATGGAAACAACCCAGGCGCTGGGGTGGTCACAGGATCTGCGCTGGTGGCGCTCATGAATAATTGAGTCCAGCTCTTGGGGAATCTGGTTACTGGCAGCGGCCCATGGAGTTTGTCTGCTGGCTCTGGTTACCTTGCGGGGCGGCAGAAAGGGGCCTGTGGAGGCTGCCTGGGATGGGGAGGGCAGGGGGGAGCCCTTCGCCCCCTTCCTTCTCCCTCTGAAATGACTCCAGGCAGCCCCAGAGAGCCAGTTTGAGCGCCCGGCTGCCAGCCCTGGGGCGGCGGGGGTGGCGGTAGGGACGGGCAGGTGTGGGGGGGGAATGCTGTGCAGCCTCCCAACAGGAGGCCTGGGGGGGAGGGAGTCTGAGGTGCCGGGGCCCCTCTGCTCCTGGCTGGCCCTTTCCATCCCCATCGGTACATCAACCGTGTGCTGGATCCAGCCCTCCCCTACGAGTGGCGATAAAGAGAGGAAAGGGCACCTTCTTCTCCCCCCCCCCCTCGGGGTCTGCTCAAGCTGGAGCCTGCAAGGGCCCCGAGCCCCTGCCCTCCGAACATCTAGGGAGAGTGAATGTTGCCAGGAGGTGGATCAGGGGCCCTTTCAACAGCACCAAAGCTGTCTGGCCACCTCTGGTACATTGAGGGTGGAATCAGCCACTCCCCCCCCCCCAGGTCTCTGGTTAGATTTGGGGCAGGTGAGAGCATGCCTCACCCGGCCAGCACTGGCCTCTGTGGGCAAACTGACTTCTCTGTGGGCAAGCTTGGTGCCTGGCAGTCACGTCCTTCTGGCAGGAGGTGGGGCTTGGGCATTGGGGTGGCTTCCCCCTCTCATTCAAGCTCTCTCTCTCTCTCTCTCTCTCTTTTCCATGTCCTGGTGCGTCTTTGGTGGAGCAGTTATCACCGTAAGTATGGCTTCTTGCCCCTGCTGTGAGGGGGGAGAGGGGGGCCTTCTCCACCGGCCGCAACTGCCCAGTGGCCAGCCTCGCCCTGTTTTCAGCCAAGGCGGACCGGCCCTTTCAAGGGGCTCCCGGGGTTTTGGCATCCATCCAAGGAGCAGGGTTTCCCTGAAGCCCCAATTCCTCGTACTGCCAGGGCTACCTCCCCAGCGGGTCTGCGTGACGGGTCCCCACAAGTGTAACAGGGAGTCCCTGCCAGACCCTGTTAAGCAAAAGAGACCCTTTTCTGCCCCAAGGAACAAACACAAGAGGGACGGGCGAGTCCGAGGTGGGACAGGGCAGACCCCGTTAGGGACACGCCGGTCTTCCTGACTGGGAATTCATTCCTCTTCTCTCTTGACAGAACGAGTACATGAAAGATGACTTTTTGATCAAAATTGAAACCTGGCACAAGCCAGACCTTGGGATG